CTTTTCGCTACATCCTCATGGGGATGAGAGAGAGGGGAACAGAGGATCCAAAGCAGGCTCTGCACAGATAGGCTGACAGTAGCGAGCCCAACGTGGGGCTTGAACTCACCAACTGCAAGATCATGACCTGAGTCGAAGTCGGAAACTCAACCAACTCAGCCACCCAGGCGCCCCACCTCTTGTCTTTTTGGTGATGGTCATTCTAACTGAAGTGAGGGGATACTTCATTGTGGTTTTGATTTGCATTTCCCTGATGAAGAGTGACGTTGAGCATCTTTGCATGTGCCTGTTGCCCTTTCCTAGATCTTCCTGGAAAGATGTCTATTCAGGTCCTTTGCCTATTCTTTTGATTGGGTTATTATAATTATATTATTGTTATCTAGTTGTATGAGCTCTTTATATATTTTGTATATCACCCCTTATCAGATATATGGCTTCTTTTATTGTATAGAAGCTCTGTAGTTTGATGTTGTCCATTTATTTTTTATTTTGTTGCTTGTGCTTTAGGTGTCATAACCAAAACATCATTACCAAGGCCCACGTGAAGGAGCTTTATTCCTTTATTCATGGTTTGGGATCTTACATTTAAGCCTTTAATCCATCTTGAGGTAATTTTTGTGAGTGATGTAAGATAGGGGTCCAGTTTCATTTCTTTCCATGTGAAGATCCAATCACCCCAGCACTATTTATTGAAGACTCTTTTCTCCACTGAATAGTCTTGGTGGCTCTCTTGTCAAAAATTAGTTGACCATATATGCTTGGGTGTTTTTTTCCTGGCCTTTTGATTCTGTTCCACTGATCTATTTGACTTTTTATGCTAGCATTATACTGTTTTGATTACTAAAGCTTTATACTACAGCTTGAAATCAGGGAGTGGGATAACTCCTACTTTGTTCTTCTTTGTCAGGATTTCTCTGGCTATTCAGGGTCTTGTGCAGTTTTCACATAAATTTTAGGAGTGTTATTTTGTGCTTCTGCAAAAATGCCACTGGGATCTTGATAGGATTGCACTGAATCTATGGATGACTTTTGGTGGTATTGATATTTTAGCAATATTAATTCTTCTAATTCATGAACACAGGATACCTTCCCATTTATTTGGGTCTTCTTTGATTTCTTTCGGTAATGTCTTACAGTTTTTAGAGCAGAGATCTTTCACTTCCTTAATCTTTCATTGTTTTCGATGCTACTGTAAAAGGGATCAATTTATTTCTTTTTCAGCAAATTCATTGTCACTGTACAGAAACACTACTGACTTTTATATGTAAATTCTGTATCCTGCAACTTTGCTGAATTTATTGATGAGATCTAAGAGCTTTTTGGTTGAGTCTTCAGGATTTCCTGTATATTAAATCATATCATCTGCAAATAGAGACAATTTTACTTCTTCCCTTCCAGCTCTGATACCTTTTCTTTCTTTTTATTGCCTGATCTAGCTAGGACTTCAGTACTAGATTGAATAGGAGTGGTGAGAGTGGGCACCCTTATCTTGTTCCTGATCTTAGAGGAAAAGCTTTCAACCTTTCACCATTGAGTATGATGTTAGCTGCGGACTTGTCATATATGGCCATTATTTTGTTGAGATATGTTCCTTTTACGCCTGTTAAGAGGTTTTATCATGAACGGATGTTGGATTTTGTCAAATGCTTTTTCTACTCTATTGAGATGATCATGTGATCTTTTTCGTTCCATTAATGTGATGTATCACATTGATTGATCTGGGTATGTTCAACTATCCTTGCATCCCAGGGATAAACCCCACTTGATCATGATGAATAATCCTTTTAATGTGCTGAATTCAATTTGCTACTATCTTATTGAGAATTTTTGCATCTATATTCATGAAAGGAATTGGCTGTAGCTTTCTTTTTTAATAATGTCATTGTTTGGTTTTAGTTTCAGGATGATGCTGGCCTCATAGAATGAGCTTGGGAATGTTCTCTCCTCTTCAATTTTTTTTGGAAGAGTTTGAGAAGGATTGGTATCAATTTTTTTAATGTTTGGTAAAACTCTCCAGTGAAGCCATCTGGACTTTTCTTTGTTGGGAGATTTTTGATTACTGATTTGATCTACTTATTTAAAAAAAATTTTTTTTAACGTTTATTTATTTTTGAGACAGACAGAGACAGAGCATGAACAGGGGAGGGGCAGAGAGAGGGAGACACAGAATCGGAAGCAGGCTCCAGGCTCTGAGCCATCAGCCCAGAGCCCGACGCGGGGCTCAAACTCACGGACCGCGAGATCGTGACCTGAGTTGAAGTCAGACGCTTAACCGACTGAGCCACCCAGGCGCCCCGATCTACTTATTAATAACTGGTCTATTCAGACTTTCTATTTCTTTCTGATGCAGTCTTGGTTATTCATATGCTTCTAAGAATTTTTCCATTTCTTCTGGGTCGTTTAGGTTGTTGGTGTACAATTGTTTACAGTAGCCTCTATGATCCTTTGTATTTCTGTGGTAACAGGTGTAATGTCTCCTTCTCCACTTATAATTTTGTGTTGGGTCTTCTCCCTTTTTTCCTTAGTTAGTCTAGCTAATTGATTAGTCTGTCCACTCTGTTTATCTTTCCAGAGAACCAACCCTTAGTTTGGTTAATCTTTTCTATTGTATTTCTGTGCTCTATTTCTGCTCTAATATTTATTATTTCCTGTCTTCTGCTAACTTTGTCTTAAAAGGAACTTCTTTTTCTTGTTCCCTGAGGCGAAGAGTTAGGTTTTTTATTGGGACTCTTTCTTGCTTCTTAATGTAGGTGTTTATTCCTATCAACTTCCCTTAGAATTGCCTTTGCTGCATCCCACGAGTTCTGGCATATGTGTTTCTATTTTTATTTGTCTCAAGAAACTTTTAAATTTCCCCTTTAATTTCTCCTTTGACCCACTGGTTGTTCAGAAGAATACTGCTTCATTTCCATGTGTTTGTAGTTTTTCCAGT